TTATCCTTCTAGATTGAAGAGGCTTTGGGTTTGGAAGATGCAGTCTAAGGAGTCTTGGTGAATTGTTACAGTGCATCTTGCAGATAGTACATTGTTGCTATTGAGTATCAATGGTCAAGGGAGTGAATGTTCGTGGATATAGTGCCAATCAAGTGGGCTGCGTTATCCTGGATGGTGTCAAGCTTCTTGAGTTTTATTAAAGCTACAGGAAGGTGGACTGTATTTCGTCACATTCTTGTGTTTAGTGGATGGTGGATAAAAAAACAGGAGGTGAGTTAATCACTGCAGTATGCCTAGCCTCTGACCTGCTCTTGCAGCCAAAGTAGTTATATGACTAGTCCACTTCAGTTTCTGGTCATTGGTAACCCACAAGATGTTGACAGCAGGGTATTTGGTGATGGTGATGCCATTAAATGTCAAGGGGCAATGGTTAGATTATCTCATTGGTGACAAGAGTAGTGAAGCATTAGGAAAGAACAGGCCAGTTTGGAGAGGACAGGATGGCTGGACGTTATCAGAGGCTTGATGAAAGGAGGAACTACGATGAACAGAGAGATGCCACAGGCCATTGTAGGTGATATAGCTAATTATGAATAGATGATATATTGTTCTTGGGGTTTTCACAAATCATTTGATAGTGTTACAGCAGGAGATTGAAGAATCCCTGGTGGAAATTCTACCTCAGTGTTCTCATGCAAAGAGGGGAAATATTGGCAAGATCAAGTGCTCTGAAGTGTTTTGCCTTGTGTGAACATTACCCTTATCTATATGTTCTGTGGAAGTTATTGTTAATTCCACTTCCTTTGAGTTCCTGAGTGAGTGTTGAGTCTGTTGAGAATGATGGCAATGTGCATTTATATAGCATCTGAAAAATGTTCCACTGTACTTCACTACTCAACTGAAAAAGAAATCAAATGTTTCGTTAAAGAGATAGGTTTTAAAAAACATCTTAAAGGAGAAGGAATGTAGAGAGATGAAGAGTTTGAGGTGGTAATTCAAGCACTTAGGGCCTGGACAACTGAAGGCAATGCTGGGGCAAAGAAAAGAGAGGAAATGTAAGTGGGCAGAGTTGGAGGTACACCAAATTCTCAAAGGTTTGTCCAGCTGCATGAAATTAGGAAGAAAAGGAGTTAAAACATGAAAGAAAAATGGGATACAGATGGTGATGCAGCCCTCTAGTTTCAGCCAAAAAAAATCAATGGTAGCTCGAACAGCAAACAAAAATATGGAGAAAAAGACCAGAATGGATTAAAATATGAAGGCCCAAGTTTTCTGTTCAGTGGCAGAGCAGGAGCGATGACGAGAGTTGGGAGACTTTGTAACAAAGCATAATTCCAGTGATAACCTTTCTCATCACAGACTGAAAACATGGCCCATTAGATGCGTCATAATTTCATCATATTTACTGGTCTCAACAGACCTGTCTTTGCTAAGTTCTCTTTCTCTTCCCTTGCCCCCCCACCCAGACTCTCAACCCTGCACACCCTATACCACTTGAGAGAGGGTGGGTAAGGAGGATGCTGGGAGAGTGAGCAGTGTTGGGAGGGTGGGTAAGGAGGATGCTGAGGTGATGAGTAGTTTTTAGATTTTTCCACCTGGTTTACTTCAACCTGTGCTCCTGAGTAAGCTTTACACCTGTTCAGAAGAGATTTGTGCAAATAATGTGTAAAGTATTGTCAGTTTAGGGGAAACAGCCTGGTGTATGTGATTACAAGTTTACTAGATACCTTCTAGTTATCTTTTGGCTCCAGCGTTTTGGAAATAATCACTTTGGGTTTGGAAAGGTTAGACCTCAGACTTAGAAGTTTTATGTGCTGCCAGTTACCAGACTACATAGGGTCGATGTTGTGTTACACAAAACCTGACCCTTCAGTACAGGAAACGTGGATTACATACACACACAATTCATTCTTGACTAATTTGTTCCTAACTCTTAACTGACATTACAACAAAATGTAACAGGGACCATCAGCATGATCTCCCACAGAACCAATTTTGCCACACCCAAAGTTCCATGTTCAGGAATACATCGGCTCCCAGAAAAGCCGTTGCTATTACAATACATAATAGTGACAAACATCTGAGCTTCATTACTATTGGGATTAGAATAATGAGGTAGATATTGGTTTGTGGGTGATTGAATTTACACCAAGTCAAATTCAATTTGAGAAAATGGTCATGATGCTCGTGAAATGAAATCTTTGTGTCACTAAAGGTGGAAATCCTGGTATATCATAGAAAGTCATAGAATCCCTACAGTGTGGAAACAGGCTATTCGGCCCAACGAGTCCACACCGACCCTCGGAGCATCCCGTCCAGACCCATTCCCCTATAACCCACCTAATCTACACATCCCTGAACACCACAGCAATTTAGCACAGCTGATCCACCTAGCCTGCACATCTTTGGACTATGGGAGGAAACCGGAGCACCCAGAGGAAACTCACGTAGACATGGGGAGAATGTGCAAACTCCACACAGACAGTCGCCCGAGGGTGGAATTGAACCGGGGTCCCTGGCGTTGTGACGCAAGGCTTCCTGCATGGAATGGAGGTATACTTCGATCCCATAGAAAGGCAGGACATTGTACTTTCTTAGACTTCAAGGAGCTTGTATGACTAGGAACATTTGACTTACTGGTTTAAATAAAGTGTACCTCAGCATGGCCATTTCCAAAGTACCAGTTTAAATTTATTGATGTTTTTATTCATTGATTCCAAGAGAGGCCAAACGGGAAGCTCCACCTGAAATAGACATAAACTTACCCAAAACTCTCTTTTACTTCACAAGTGTCATCTCCATTCTGGTCTCTGGATCCGTATCCCCCAGTATATTGATTTGTTACTTTTCAAATCCTCAACTACGTATTCCCCTACTCACCCCAACTGTCATTTCTCAACACATTCCTCTGCTCAAACTCTTCCCTCAATTCCTGTTCAGTGTCCAGCTGCTGCCTTCACATAAACATAGGTGAAGCATTTTGGGGTGTTTCTGTGACATTATGACGGTGTGGGTTATTCACTACATTTCACTCAGGGAGACTGAGTTGCTGTGGCACTGTCCATATTTATATCCACATAGTGTCTGAGCTCTGGCAGCAGAGTAAGACGCTCCTGCCAGAGCTCCTCTGCTCTGCCTGTTCTTTTCATTCCTTTCCTCTCTTTTCTTCTTCCCTCCCATCATCACCGGAGGTGAATACCGGCAGGCACCGGCAGCAGTGAGTCCTGGAATGCAAGCCCAGGGATCAAGCCAGAACACTGCATGAGCTGCGAGCCCTGGAGCAGTGTGGGGAACGAGCTGATACAACGAGTGGGCTGCAAGCCCTGGAACAGTGTGGGAAATCCCAAGTTCCAGAGTGGCGCGAGGGAGGCAAATCCTAGTAAAGCGCAACTTACCTTGTTGCTGCTGAATGCCAGTGAGGAGTGAACTGGAGGCTGGTGTAATGCGGGTCAGTTGTTGGACTTGGGCCTGGCACCACATGCTGATGTGCTGCTGTTTGGTACTCTTACTGGACTGTCATGTAAATCCTTACCTTTTAATCCTCTTTTGTATAACAACAAATCTACTTCAAAGCCTTAGAGTATAACAACATTATATTTTTATTTCTGTGTAAAATTTGTACCTAGCTACTTGTACTTAAGATGGTGCCATTAAAAGGCAGCCATTGTAAAAATTTTTCACTGGACTGCTGTACTGGAATGCTAGTGACAATAAAGGATATTCTGTTCTATTCTATTCTTTTGATGATGGTGGTAGAGGCTCTACCATTTAGTTTAAGTTGCTCCAATTATGAGTGTAATCAAATTAATGCAAATACAATAAAATAAATACAAAGAACAAAGAAAATTACAGCACAGGAACAGGCCCTTCGGCCCTCCAAGCCTGCGCCGATCCAGGTCCTCTATCTAAACCTGTTGCCTATTTTCCAAGGATCTGTATCCCTCTGCTCCCTGCCCATTTATGTATTTGTCTAGATACATCTTAAATGACGCTATCATGCCCGCCTCTACTGAAGATCTGAAACAAAAACAGAAATTGCTGGAGACACTCAGCAGGTCTGGCAGCATCTGTGGAAAGAAAATGATCCTTCTTCAGAACTGATAGTAGCAAGTAGGGAAAGGTGGCACTTATTCTACTGATAGGGGGTTGGGGAACGGGGGAAAGGAGTGAGTGGATAGGTGGAGATTGAGCCTTGAGAGAGAGAAAGATCTGTGAGCTTGGCATTCAATGGAGGCCATTTCAATGGCAGGAAGATCCCATCTACATCCCCCTCTTTATCATCCTCACTGGAAACCATTAAAAACTTGCTGCTGCTAGGCATGGGGCTACTAATATTGTTTATTTACCTCTTGCTGGAGACGGAAATACATCGGCCCACCAACCCGATGCTCCAACGTGCAAGTTTACTCCCTATTCTGCCTTCAGCATTTCTCCACGTGACCTGGAGGATTCAATTTTGCATGTTAGAAGTATATCTTGCCCAGGCTACTGCAAGTTGTATGGAATGCTGCTGGCTCCTCAGCATGCAGGCCGATGTGAATTTCAAGAATTTTAATTTTGGTTTGCTGCTTGATGCATGACACCCATGTGTCAGGTACCTAGTGGCACAAACACAACAAAAAAACACCTAGCATCTATTGTAAATAAGACTGGATCATTTAACTTTTCAGGGATATCACTACCATAAGGGTCTAGTTGATGTACAGTATCTTGAAAAGTTGAAAATAAAGGTAACTAAATACTATCAGTTTATTCCACTGATATCTGAAGTAATTTCCTCTCTTATGTAACAGCCAAAGCTGCAATTTTTGATCTGAATACAGATCTGATACAGATCTGAAATTGTAGGTCCATGTTAATGACACCAGAGTTGAACACAAATATGGAACTGCGCCAGAATATAGTTAGTACACATTTTGCAATCAATAATGGCATGAAATCCATGAATAAAGTCTGACATGTGAAGGGTACAATAATATAACTGTTCTCTTTCAGAGTGTCGGGTGATGAAATCATCCTACTCGCGTTCTGGTAGCACCTCACGACATTCTGGATCAAAAAGTCCTGGGCTATCTCGTCGAAGCAGATCTCCTGCATCAGGTACAATTTTTTTTAAAAATGGCTGTACAACTAAAGCCACCAAGTATAGTGATGACCTGATCTTAACAAGCTGTTGAGGAAACTGTTGTGCATGAATGTGTTGTCAGAAGGATACTTTGTCTGTATACCCACAAACGACCCTTTCATTCAGTTTTTAAATTATTTCATGCAATGTGGCCATTGCTGGCAAAGCCAGCATTTATAGCCCATCCCTAACTGCCCTTCAGAAGAGTAGTAGTGAGTCAACATCTTGAACTACTGCAGTCCCTGTGCCGTGGGTATGCTTGCAGTAAAAGCTTGTTTTGAAGCTGTTCCTATGTGACCATTTCTGACCTTTATCCGTTACATTTCACTTGATGTTTACCTCACAAAAGGCTTTTGAATGTTGCTTTAAAAGTAGCTACTGTAACTTGTACAATAGTTAAAATTGTTCTGCATCCCGTCTGGCAGAAAAATTCCAGATTCAAGGGGTGAGTAATGCTTATTATGACTTTGTTGGACACTTATCCATTGAAATTTTAGCACTCATGACACTTTAGGGTCATCTTTGTCTCACGTTTCTCAAATGACACATAGTTTATTTTGCCAACAGGAAACACCTTGGGCGTGATTTTTTTTATTTTAAATTTGGAGGTCATTTTAACTTTATGCAATGCTGTAAAATAGCTGATTTCAGTTTAGCTGCCACTTGTGTACTCTGGTACACTATCCTTTTAGTGGCAAAGGAAGATCAACCAAACTGTGAAATGGGAGGCCAATTTGATATTTCAATTTTATGCTATTTCTCCAAGTTAAAAATGCTCCTGCTTTATTTATACGGCAGCTGCAAATATAAATTTTAATAATGCATGAACAAAAAAGGCACCTGGGTTTTTGAACTTGCACAAATAGCAGAACAAATGTATGTTCAATGTGAATAACACACTGAGTTTTTGAATAGAAACACAAAGCCTGATTTTCACATAGTTGATTTGTATTCATTATTTTTTTTAAAAAAATGGTTCAGATCTGTTTCTGTGAATTCAGAAAATTGTGTTTCCCACACGTGTAAACACAGTGGACTTTACCCTGCATGTAGTTGTACATTTGTGATCTCTGACGTCTTCATCTTATATTAGTCTTTGTTACAAAGCTAAATGTTGTCTACAATTGTACTAATTTTTCTTTGCCTTTAACCCTTCTTACGTTTTGGATTTGAATCTCTTCTATTTATGATTGTGTGGTAACATCTCTCCTTAATGTTTTTTCCTTCCGTTTGTGTGTTAACTGAATGAGTACAGTTAAAAGAGGAGGTTACTACACAGCTTTTTCTCCAGTCAAATCCCCAGGTGAGCCCTCTTTTCATACAATCCCATCTCATACTTTGTTATGATCCTCAAGGCAGGTTTATTTCAACAAAGGTAATAGTCACCTCATCTCAACAGCTAACGGGGAGCTGAAAGGATGATAGTATCGGACCTGATGCCTTGATCACATGAACTTATCCTGTAGCGAGTATAATTACGAAGGGCAGAAATAACACCAAAGTAGTTCTTGGTGTGTAAACCTCACTTGATACTTAAAACATTTCAGAGATGAAATTGCTTTTGGGCTGTTGTACAAGAAGCGCAGTAGCTTAAACTCCACTGATATCAATAAAGATGAAAAAAAGCTGCTCTGTAAAAGTGGAGGCTGTATAATGTTGATTTGTGAGAGGTTTGGAATTGCACAGAAGCAGAATCAGAAGAATTCATCAATATCCCCAATTATCATCACAGCTCTATTAAATGTAAAACTACAACACATAAGCAAAGCATTGATTTTGTGAGTGATAAAACAAAGAAATGTAGATGCTGGAGATCTGGAACAAAACAAATTGCTGGCAAGACTCAGCAGAACTGCCAGCATCTGTGGGGGGATAAAGCAAAGCTAACCGATCAAGTCCAGTGATTTTTCATTGGAACTGCACTTTATACGCTATCTTTTCTTTAGTTCCCATTGATTTTGTGGACGTCGCTGTGTTTAATTGACATAAGGTGGCAGCAAGTGCATTTTTAAAATAAAAACTGACACCCTTTCTGTGTACAAAAAGCCATTAGTCTGTACGTGCTTCCAGTCTGATGACATTACAGCGACATCATTACATATTTGTCTTTAACACAGCTTAAGTAATTCATAGTATGTAAGATGCTTTGTGACATTGTAACACACAAGTGCAAATCTTTATGAAGTAAAACTGTTCAATGTTAAATTATACAAGTGACCAAAAAGAAAAAGAACTGCAGATGTTGGAAACCAGAAACAAGAACAGAAATTACTGGAAAAACTTAGCAGGCCTGGAAGCATCAGTAGAGGAAAAAGTGGAGTTGAATTGGAGCTTTCTCTCCACAGATGCTGCTAGACCTGCTTAGTTTTTACAATTTCTATTTTGATATGATTGACTGTGTTCATATCAATAGCAGAAGTCACAACACCAGGTTATAGTCCAACAGGTTTATTTGAAAACACAAGCTTTCGTATCATTGCCCCTTTGTCACGTGAAGTGAGAAAGAAGCACACAGAACAGAATTATAAGTAAAAGAACAAAAGATCATACAAGGATGTATTAAACAAACCTAAGATGCTGTCAAATCTTTAATCAGTTAGAAGATTTTAATTGATTCATATGTATATGCAAATCCCTGAATTTCTTTGAAGTCACTGTCGTGAAAGAACTAAAGGTTTTATCAGTGTAAAGAAGTGGTGACATTTTAGGTCAGACAGTGCATATCAGGTTTGAAGCCTTGTTTAGCATCTGTTTGTGTTTTGGTTTGGAGTCAGACTGGTTTTATTTCGAAAGAAAGAATTTATAAAACGCCACATTGACTGTCTATAAACTGTGTGCTTTTTGAACAAAATAGAATGTATCTGTGAATACAGATTCACCCCATAGATTGAAATATGTATGTGTGTACGTGTGAGACTGAGGGACGAGGGTGGAGAGAGTGTGTATGTGTGTTGGGGAGGGGGGGAAGAGAGAGAAGGAGTGTCTGTGAGGTTCTTTGTGTGTCTGTGTGAGTATATTATGTGTGTGGGGAGGTGGTGCAGGGAGAGAAACAGCATGTGTGTGAGCATGTGTATATACGGAGGGGGGGAGAGAGAGCGAGTGTGTGTGTGTGAACCAGACTGTGTGAAGCGGACAGAGAGAGAGAGTGTGTGTGTCAAGCATAGAGTGTGTGTGAGAAGCAGAGTGTGTGTGAGTCAAGCAGAGACAGTGTGCGTATGCGAGTGAGAAGCACAGAGCATGTGTGTGTGTGAGAGAAGCAGGGAGAGAGTGTGTGTGTGTGAAGCTGTGTGTGTGTGTGTGTGAAGCTGTGTGTGTGTGTGTG